AAGTCTGGTTTTTGCCCCCTTCAGACTCCTTGAAATGGTGAAAAACAGACCTACCAGGCCCACCAAAAGACAGAAAATGGGGCATTTCTGGCTTCTGGGTGGAGAGCTGTTTTCACCCTCCCCAGGTTCCTACAAAGCTTCTGGAGCCTGGGGAGGGCACAAAACGGACCTACAAGGCCCACCGGAAGTAAGAAAAGGGGGCATTTACGGTCTTCAGAGGGCCTCCGGAGGGCAGGGGAGACCGTTTTCACCCTCCCCAGGTTCCTACAAAGCTTCTGGAGCCTGGGGAGGGCACAAAACGGACCTACAAGGCCCACCGGAAGTAAGAAAAGGGGGCATTTACGGTCTTCAGAGGGCCTCCGGAGGGCAGGGGAGACCGTTTTCACCCTCCCCAGGCTGCAAGGAAGCCGTGTGCACATGTGCAGGGCAGCGCGGGGTCACTCACCCATGGGCAAGGGGCATGGCGTGAGGGGACATTAAATTATGGGGGTGCGATAGCGCGCACGTGATTTTGGTCCCCGAGGCATAAAGGTTCGCCATCTAGATAATTTAGAAAAGTAGCAGGAAAAAAAGCCCATGAAGAAAAATAACATTTTTAAATAGAATAAATTTGAATAAAAGCACTTGCTTCTTGAAGGTACAAAGAACCCATGGTGTGGATTGGACTTTGTCCTATGTTCTGCCTTGTAGGTCGGATCAGATGACTTTCCATGACTATTGTTCTTAAAGTAGTTGATATTGGGATATTGAACTGGCAGATCTGTTCGATTACAGTTATTAATCATAATCTAAAACAAAATCTTTTTTATTAATTTCATGGCTCCCCTCTTTAAGGCATTTTTCATTTATTTACTTAATTGGAAGCTGTATTCAGTGCATGCTCAGTGAATAACAGTCACATGGAAGGATTTTAGGCAGACATTGAACTTAAATTCTGAAAAGCCTGTTTGGTTCATTTGGTCACTTTCACTGGGTAGAGGGTTACAGAAGAGAAGAACATGTTCATATCATAATATGATGCATACCCCGTGTATGGATAAATCAGCAAAGATGCTATTCAAATTTCAAACTAGAAAGTGATTCAAGATTCAACTGGAATGTGTGAGTCATATTGAAAGGTGACTATTCTATTTGAATTGCTTCAAGTTCCAATTGGATAAAAAATACCACTGGGGAAAAGTCGGTATAGAAAGCTTTGCATTTATCCCTAACTCCAACCATTCTGTTAGCACATTAATACAGAAACTAGAATGATTAATGACTAGAATGATTGCACGGGATGCACATAATTAGGTATATGTTATTACTTCTGTGCTTTATTAAATTAATTTAAGAAGTCTATGGTTAGAAGTTTGAAATTAAGTGGGAAGAGGGTGGTTTTCATAATTTCTGTAACTACATTATTTCCTATTTAATGTTTAGTTTTTAAAACTAATTCAATGTATAAATTAAACTCATTTTCTTGAGTTACTAGTATTCTGTCATCTACTATAGCACCCCTCTTGAACTAAAGTTTTTGGGTGGAAAAATATATTTTCCAGGAAGCATGAAGAAAATCCTCTTATTTTCTTCATTAACTTTTTTCCCTCCAATGCTCCTACAGATAGTTTTAAATAATTAATTCCACATTTCCTCCTTCTCTTAATGTTTCTTTTTGGTATCTTTTTTTCTCACCAGCTATAGACTTAAAGAATGGTTCTGGAGATTTATACCAAGGACCTGCCCGTGGAAAAGCTGATACTGTTTTCACTGTGGCAGATGAAGACTTTATCGACATAATACTAGGCAAGATCAATCCACAGAAGGTATACATACCGTTGTAACTTTGAATGGTCATTAAATGAATGGTTGTAAGTTGAGAACTACCTGTTTTTGCAAAGTGGTAAAAGGAGCCTCTGCGGATTTTAGTTGCCTAGTCATTGCTGACTGTAGAAGGTGGCGCTCATCTTCGTTTCAAGGTCTGTTGAGCTAGCACATGTCCACGGCCATGGGGCCCGCATGACATCAATTTGCAAAGTGAGAATAAATGAAAAAAGAAAAAGAAAGATAAGTAGGAAAAAAAGACATAATTGTAGGCCAATCATTTTCTTTCGGCCTAAATCCAGGTTTTTACTTTGGGGAAAATGGAAGGAAGGAGCAATATATTCATGTTCTTTTAACTGAAAAAGGACTGTTTTCACTGTGCAGAGAGGAATATATATAGAAGTCTCTTGTTAACCTCATATAATTTGGTATGCCTAAACGTGCAAGTGTTCCATATATGCAACAAGTCTCATCCCCCTCCCCCCAAATTCTTCCTTCTCTTGGGGTTGTGTTAACATGGGATGTGCATCAAATTTTGAAATATTTTCTATCACAATAGCTCAGATATCAAAGCCATTTTAAAAATAAACTTGGCCAAGAATTACACATCAGTTGAGATTTCAGCGACTCCAGATTTCAGCCTTTTTTCTTAAAATTGTGGGATTTAGTTTTTGGTTGTGTGTTTAGAGATATTGGAAGCATTACTGATTTCTTGAATACTTCTTATGTCTTCTCCATAATCTTGGCAAGTTATCTAATGAAGGTGACCACGTTGGATATTGAAAATAGTCATTATGTCATTGGGTTTTATTTCTTTTCATTGGTTGCAGTTGAAGTATGTGCATAATTGTGGTTTATTGTACAAATTTGGTCTTAGATGGTTTTAACTGTTTCTAAGGTTCCACTTTCAGGTACATTTAATTGTTTTTCTTTCCTCTTCCTACTTATAGGCATTTGTCACTGGTAAGCTAAAAGTTAAAGGAAACATCATGCTGAGCCAGAAACTAGGGACGATATTACAACAATATGCAAAGCTGTGAATTCCCTGCTGAAATGATTTACCTTCTGAAGCAAAAAAGAAACAATTTCAGCTAGCAGGAGAAAGAAGTAGTTCTTTCATTTTTTTTAGAACAATCTGAAATGTTATGCTAATTCTGTATTAGATAATTTCCAAACTACTTTATTGCTAAGATGAAAGTAGTCTTGATTCTTGCAGATTCAGACAGTTGATTATTACTGTTTCTTCTCTTTTCTTCTATATTGCGAGGCTTTGTACCAGATCTCCTCCGACTGGTATCCTTAATATTGCAGATGATGGGGTTGTATTATACAATTCACTGTGAAAGCATCTTATGGGAGGATACTTGATTTATGTCTCTTCCTTATTCTTCTTTAATTAAAAATGTAATTAATATATTTCTTATGAAATCTAAATGTAAGTAAATAAACTTTGATACTAACCAGCTGATTTTGTTTCTACTTCCTTTCAGTGGCGTAAAACAGATTTCTTAGTTAATTAGATCCTTAGCCTATAGAACTCATCAACTGGGGATTGATTAGTGGTTATATTAAGGGGAGAGGAGATGACTGTATTTTATTGTATTTTACTTTGATATGCTGGTTAGTCTGCAGCCTGCAATAAAGACAAATAAAATAAGTTGTTATTTAGAAAAAAAAACATATATAAGTTGAAGAATTTTGGAGATTGGTGCATTCATCTCTAGCCTATGATAGTTCCTAGGAGCTACCAACATAGATTTAGTTAACACATAGTGCTAAACTGAAATGCAATTTATTTAGCATATTACATAACTTCTGGTAAACATTTTGTTCATTAAATCAAAGTTAATCAAATGATGGGTTAGCAAAATGTGTGAATCCTGCCAGTAGAGAAGCTTCCATCATTTGGTAGCTTAAAAGCTTGGGAACACAAGTCATAATAAAGAATTTAAAGTAATCCAGCAGCAAAAATTACAGTATATTTTTAAACATGCAATAGTTTTAATTTCTGCAATTGGATTAATGCTGAAGTTACTGGATGTCATATCATTTCAGTCTCCTGTGAATTCCTGTGTGTGGCTCATTTCTTTCTGGCTTCTGTTGTACCATCAAGCATTTCATTCTGCTATTCCCATTCCCTATGATTATAATCATTAAAATTGGTCTTGAAAAGTAAAACAAAATATGCAGATGCACTCAGATCATATCTAGTTGAAGCGGTTTAGCACATACTCTCTCTAAAACATCTGTATCTAAAGGCACGTATCTTGGATCTTTAATCAAAAGTAGTTTGCAGCAACAATTAAGATTGTTCTAGCTGGGAAAAGCAATAGACAATACATACAGTGGATGGTATACTTTAAAAAATATCTGTGTAGCCCATAAGACAGCTGTTTTGGTTAGTTGCATACAGAATTTTGGAAGGTGAAAAGGACAAGTTGCTTTCATTTCAGAAAAATAGAGAACGAGATGCAAATATGCAGAGGTGAGATTCTACCGGTTCGGACCTGTTTGGGTGAACTGGTAGCTCCCACCCATCCGCCCCTGTGCTTAACTCACCTATATCTCATATCAGCTGAGTTGCGCAGCAGAGCAGATTGCCACGCCACAACTGTTTTCCTTCCCAGCAGTAAAGCAGAAGGTACTTTTTCTCAAAACTGCACATGCATGTAGCAGGCATTAGGTGCATGTGAGAGCGAACTCAGCGTCCGTGCGCAAAGCGCGCAATCACCAAACTGATTGTTAAACTGGTAGTATCCCATCACTGCAAATATGTAATAAATTGAGAAGGGCAAGTAAGTTTAGTGTTAGGATTAGTTGAGTAGAAACCAAATAGGATATTCTGCATGGACAAAGTTAAGGAAAAAGATGTCGCTTTTGTTGGTATCTAGAGGATTAGTTTTGATTCAGAATTTTGAATTTGCTTGACTGTGTCTGACCTATATACTAAGCCCTAGTTCTCAAACCACATCCTTCTAAAAAGACAAGAAGCAGGGAATAGCTGGAGGAAGGTGGTAAGATGAATCTTGATCTGGTATGGTGCAGAAGAAAAACAAGATAGATGCTAGTCTTCAAATAACAAAGAAATCCATAAATTCTAAGAAAAGAACCAGTTTCAACATATCAAATCTGAGGGAGAAAAGGACTTAAAATCATTCTTAAAAACTAGATGTTGGATAAAGGATTTTCTAGCAGGATCAGAAAAAAATTATATGGTTGTAAATGGGGAATGTATGGTGCAAAAGTGCAGAGTGCAATAAGAAAATTCTGTTCAAATTTTGGTACTTTTATTATGTTAATAATTTAGTAATCCACCTAGAAGGCCTTGTTACTGGGGCTGATAAAAGATAATTAACTTTACTTGATAAGATGACAAATCAATGAACTTAGTCCCAGGGTTTATATCTTTGTTTTTTTATTAATTGCTTAGCAGAAAAGTCATTTGGTCTTTGTTTAAATTACTCTTGTGATAAATTACGGATCTAAAGAAAATGAGAGTTTCTGAATAAAATGAACAATTATGAGCTTTAGCTTCTGCTGAATTTCTTCCTGGTCCAAAGTAATTAAGAAAAAGAGTTATGTACAGTTGCATAACACTGTAAAAGTACCCATTATTTGCATTCTTTGATTTGAATTTAACAATCAGAAAATAATTAAAATTCTTAGTGATTAATTCACAGGAAATTAGAAAACATCTGATTGGAAATATTACTAAAGTGCTAGAGATTTTAAAACTGTTACAATCAAAGTATTCAAGATTAAGTGACTTCATTACAGAGTCCTTGTAATATGATTTATGATTCTTAAGCTTTCCTCAGAATACTGAACTAAAAAAGTCTCTTTAACAGTTTTTGTGGAAGAAATGTATGTACTTACATTTACAGCAGTTGTAGCACAAATGTGAATTGAAAATTTATTCCGAAGGCATCCATTTTATTCCTTTCCATTGAATACAAAAATCTTGCCCTGTTTCAAAAATCTATAGCACAGCCTACTATTCCGCATTGATCTCAGCAAGCACTGTCATTATCTATATACTACTAAAACTCTCATCATGACCTTTAACTGTGCAAAATGATGCTTCCTAGGGCAACAATTTGATCCAAGTACTTCAAATGAGCTAAAGTACAGAATGTGTCTAAAATCCCCCCCCCCCAGTGCATCCCACTGCATAAGGGGGAAAGGGAGGGGAGCTGAGAATAGAACAATCAGCAAGTTTCTGAGCAAATATAAATTGATACTCTGAGCACAGTTAATGTAAATAATTGAAAAGAATTCCAAAGTCTTCCTTCTTTACCTTGTCTGAATAAAGCTTCTCCAGCTTTGTTTAATGTGGTTTAATTTTGAAAGACTGCTGATTATGGAAAAAAATCCTTTTAAACGATTATCCTGACATGTAGATTGTCTTGGCAAATAATACTGACCCTCCCAAACAATTTGACTTTGCAATAGAGTAACAAATCTCTAATGCATTAGAGTACACAATAATTGATATTTTAAAGATACATTCAAGAAAAACTAAAATTGCCAGTGGTGGTCTCACTGGATAAGAAAAGAAAATATTGAACATGGAAAAGATCTTCATTTTGACCTTTGTTTCTCTGTGAGACCCAAGGGCTCAACTACAGTAACCACAATAGGCATAATTAGAAGGCAGTTTTATATCTTGGCAGGGATTTGGTTCTTTTTCTTAGTCAAAATTGAATTGGATTTCCAGCATTGCAGACTGCAAGACATACATGGATGCTGTTGGGATAGAAATATAATTTTACACTTTCTGTTAATATACCAACATTTTGGAATATACCAATATATGAAAGACTGGTTTATTTAAATGGGATATTTTTTAAAAAGTTTTATAATGGGATTCCTGGGTCCTGGTTTTAAAACTTTTATTGATGATATGTAACCACATTCTGTTTATGAACCTGGTTCTTTATTGATGTAATAGAAAATATTGTTCCCTATGCTCATAGTTTCTATGTTTAAAAACTGGCTTGTCTTTTATATATTTTACAATCTGTTTTTGCATCTTCCCCCCTTTCTTTCTGCTTAGAAAAGTGATACAGCTTTTAAAAAAATAAATACAGTACTTAATGGTAGTGGAAATGCCTTAGGCATGTCATTATCAGAGCTCTAGTCAGCCAATTAAAATGTATATATCTTCTATGACTGCAAATTTTTGAACAAAGCTGTTTCAAAACCACATGTGGGCAGGGACAAGTCAGGAGCAGCCTCTTGGGTCAGCCATAGATGCTTGGAAAAATATGTAGTTACTTCAATTATTTGAAAAGAAGCACTTCTTAATACAGACCCCTGTATATTCTGAAGAACCTTTTTCGAACAGTTCTGACACCTAGATGCTTTAGACACAGGGAATAGCCATCTACAGAGGGCTTCAGGATACTTGCTTAAAATGGGAAACTGTACAATAATCTTGCAGGAGAGTAATAATGCTCTGGGATTTTTGAATTTTGTATTGAGAAAGTCTGCCACCACCACCCCGCCCAAGCCTTAAGGATGCAACAATATAGAAGAACTGTAAGGCTACTTTTGCATTGGTAAAGTAAAGTATTAATACCTCTTCTCCCCAAATATCCAATTTTCTTTACTTCTTGAAGCAAAAGGGACTTTAACCTAACTAAAAGGCTAGAAATAAGGAGCTTGTATGATTGCCAGTGATTTTTAAAGGAGCCTTTATGTTATGGTGTGCAGGTTGATGACTCAACAGTCACAAGAGGATTAACAATTCTTAAAACTGGTCTTTTTGCTGACCACTTATAGTAGCAATTCCAAAGATAGCTGTCAAATACATTATATTTTAATAGATAAATGAAATGAATGCTAAGAGTACAGAAAAAAAAATGAAGTCATTTTTGAACTGTATTCTTTGTTCGATGAAAGCTCTTTAAATCTCTTGTATAGAGTTTCGTGGATTTTTTTTCTGCTGAAAAATCTGTAATAATTAGGTTTATTTTCCCCAGTGTAGATCCAGCTGAGCTAAGATCAGAGGTTTACGGTCCTTAAAACACACTTTGCATAGCTCTACATGAATTACAGTAGAAGAAGAATATATAATCTTTCTGATTTTTGCCTTGTTTCCATGAAATTTGAGTTATGGTAAAACACATCATTTTCCCTTGCAGGAAATGGTTGCATTCCCAATGCATAGACAGAGAGGTAGGCATAGATATGGTTTGGATGGCTAAGGATACTTACATTTGATTAGGCCTATCTGTAACAAAAACAGACGTGTTTTCCTCACAAAAACACGAGGTTAGTAATGAAATTACAGTCACGGAGAATATGTATTTTTCAGATGGTAGATAATTATATGAGTGAGCAGAAGGAATGTGAGAAAGACTAAGGTTAGGCGTATAACTTTTAAAAGAAGTGTTAATGGGAATAGTGCTTATGTAAAAGAAAAAAAGGTAAGTTTGATTTAGGCAACAATATAGACACAGGAAA